ATATGTACAGGAGAGAGAGTTAGCATCAGCAGCAGAGAAGTTAGCAGAGTGTCAAGAAACCATATTTGTGTTGGGGAAGCAGCTAAAGTCATTACGACCACAACCTGAACAAATGAGGTCACCAAAAAGACAAAGTGAGTCCTATCCTGAGGATGAACTAGCCGCCAAAAACTACACCGTAGACGAAGCTGACACTTTGGTTAACGAGGCCCCTAGATTTATGGAATCTCCAAAATATCCTTCTGACTCAGAGACTAGCGATTTGATGACATCGCCATCACGAGTGGGTTCAAGGCTCTCGAGGTCAGGTTCATCTGGCAATCCAACCCCAGAGAAACCTTCCAGAGGAATCAGCAGGTTCTTCTCATCCAAATCCGGATATTAGCCTTTGAAATAAAAGAGAGAAGAAAGCAGCTGTGTATGTGTACATGATGAAATGTGATCAAATAACTCAGAGAATACTTGGGCTCTTTTTGTCATTTTTTATGTTTACTAGAGGTAATTAGTTACCTCCTTTATTCTACGACGTGTGCATTTTAATGTTGATGTTTTGTTTGTTATTGAATTAATCAAAGGATGTATGTGACATTGCATTCACTCAACAGTAATTGTATCTTTCACCAAGAAAACAAAAAGGTCTAGGGACCGTAATTTGGGAATTAACTAAAGATTAAACCTTCTAGAGAGTACTAGTGAAAGTTTCGTGTATTCAGTGAAAATTGGGTACAATATTTGTTACAACTCATCAGAAAATACTGATAAAAATCATTAACCAATAGCCAAAATCTTATAAACCTTAAAGAAATATATATACGAGCATAACATTTGATTTGCATTGATCACAGCGTGGAGACATTTTGGTATAGACTACTGAGTGTGAAGCATTTTAAAACTAAAATTGTGTCTATAAAAGAAAAAGTTAATATATGATTTTCTCTTTGATTATCTCATTTAGCCAATACTCATTTTCACATTAACTCACGTTGAAAAGCCATTCAGGTTTGTTTTTTTTTTTTTTTACATTTTCCCCATTTTTAATGATACATTTTACAAACCACATTGATTTTTTAGAATCTTTACGCATATAAAAAAAACCTTGACAAAAAGTCAATATACAAAAATGAAGAAGAAATTAAACTAAATGTATTTTGAAATTACATAATGTTTACATTTCTAGTTAAAGTTTTATAGTAGTAGTTACGTACATGCGATTATTATTTTATAAGAAACTAAAACTAATATAAAATATTTTTCTTATCATATTTTTTTTTCACGTATTACTTTTATATTTATAATTAACTATGGAAATTACAATTTTTTTCTTTCTGGCTGTTGATATTGCTCTCATTCGAAAGACATAATAAACACCGTCAAGAGATTCAAACCAAACGATATAGTTTACATGATGGATGTCAGTATACTAAACTAAATCTTCTAAGTAATTTTTGATACTGGGAGTGAGATTGGCTTAAATATTCAAATATACCTAAAGAAATTTAACTCTCACAAGAGTCATTATTAAATTATACACATGGTTTCAGGTGTGATAATCTGGGATTGACAAATTAAACCAAAAAAAACCACAACTAAACATGCAATTTTAGTACAACTATGAAAACTGAATGCAACATTGTAGCGATTAATCATGAAATGTTGCTTGAAGTCTATGATTCTATTTGTTTCATTCGTTTATGTGAAATATTTATATCACGCTAGCGCTATATAAGTGATCTCCGATATTACTATGAACTTTTCTACCTATAATATATCTTTCTAACACCTTACCGATTTGTTATTTTCTTAATTAAATTCAACATTGACACCATTTGTCCAAATTTCCGTAAGTTTGTGTTTTATCTTTGCAGGAAAAAAAATTAAGAACGCTAATCTAAATGAATATAAAGTCACTAATGTCTATATTCTCAACCAGAAACCACCACCATCTTTACGGCCAGTTAAGAGTTTTCATTGAGTTTCAAAATAGTCACAACCCCTTTTATGACTATTTCTTTTGAAGCTCTAAATTAAAGATTCAGATTTCATGGCAGTGTTGTAGACTCAGGCGCAACCCGTAGCTTTCACTACTCACTGACTCACCTACAGCTGAAATATGTTCTAACTCGACCCACTAAAAGTTTTGCTTGGGGTCCAAGTAAGTACCATACTCAAGGATCAATCAAGCTAGCAATCCAAACTTGAGGATTTAGGGTTTAAAGTCTTGACTATTATACAAATCAGATGGTTTGTGCTTTGTTTCTGTTTGATCATGTAACTAATAGCCCCAAGTAGGCATCGGGATTACAGCCTAAATGGAATGGAACCAAATCGAACTTTTCGGTTTTTCAGTCTCAGTTCAGTTTTGAGCTACAAACCAATCGGCATATTTTCAAATTTACTTTGTTCTCGTTTCAGTTCAAAACCTCCAGAGTCCAGTCTCCAGACCAATCAGTTCTTCTGTTTGTATTTTCTTTTTTGAGAAATTTTGAGACATTTTATTACCTTAACCGGTTTTAACCAACATAACCCCAAGTGTCAGATAGATTATCTCAAAACTCCAGCATTGAAACAGATGTGTGCATTGTGCATGTTGTTGTCGATGGGGTTTGACATCTAAAGGCCAAACTGTATTGTTATATATTTTATTAAAAATACAAAGTTTATCACATAATCGCCAAGCCATAATACACCTTCCATAAGAATGTGGCATCTTTTATTAAAACAAAAGAAAAAAAGAAGCAAAACTATAAGTATTCAGGCTCAAAGTCGTAGTAAAAAAGTAACAATAAATTTATATCAGTCATCCTCCTCCAGAAATTGGAGCTTAAGATTTCAATGACTTCATATTCTCAGCAAAAGTTGTTCCATAAATCTGTGAGGCTCACTTCTGCATCTGACTCGAACCAGTAATCTGTTTTTAACTGCAAATACACAAACAAAAACTCTTAACTTAAAATCACAAACATACACGAGACTGATCCCAAAACATCTAATACTTACATCAGTATCTGAAGTTACTATTTTCAAGGAAGGAGTGTCCACTCCAGACGCGGCGTTTTGATCAGACTCACTTGTTTCCACACTGTCTCCTTTGTATTTGCTGCAACCATGTTTGTTTCCAATATCAATATAGAGAAGAACAGAGACACAGAGAAGAGAGTGCAAAAAGTGTTGTGGCCTAAGTACCTTAATAGATAGACATCAATCGGTCCCATCCTACTCCTAATCACCATCCGGTATTGTCTTTGCGGAAAACTCATCACCTTAAAAACGTAACAAACAGCTCTTTCACTTTGTGGACACATTATATCACGCTAAAACGAAAGTATCGAAAAACCCTCACCTCATCAGGATCCGGAACTTCGATGTAACTAGCTGTAGGAGCTTTAATTGCAAGTAGTGTCTGGTTCTGTATCAAGAACAACCGGTTTAGTATGTCATTACAGTCGAAGAAAACATTAGATGATTTGTTTCAAGAGCTAGTTTTGGGAGGACCTGAAACTGTGGGAGACTCGTTATATCTTCCTCCGTCATAAACATGTACCTGTTTATTTCAAGTAATGATCTTAGCAAAGTTCTCGAGTTATACAAAAGATTGAGACTCGAATTACTGGCGACAAACCTTTTACAATATTCATCTTCCTCCAAGGATCTCAGAGCTTCTTGTCTTTCCCTGGGGATATATAACATGAAGACATCTTAAACTATGTGGGGAAGGAAGTGACAAGGAACAGTAATGGATAAGTCTCCATATAATTATATAAGAAGGTAAGCAACCAACCTTATAAGGTCATCCAACCTGTTTTCCTCAGATTGCATACTTTCTACTTCTAACTGAAAATGTGTACAGATGTAACTGGTTATTCAAGGGAGATTTGTAAATAAGCGTGGGAATTAACTATAATGTTCAGACTGCCAATGAAGAAAAAGCTAGAATATCTCATTTGCAATCGTTGTAGTAAGTTCTAGGACAAAGAAATATGTGAAATTTAACCTTAAGCCTAGAAATTTGATCTCCCAGGTCCTTCTGCCCAAGATTTTCAGCACCCCTGCATCAATGGCCCCAAACCAAGGTCAGAAGAACTTAACTAATTTGCTTTGCACTATGTAAGTAAGAAACGAGTTGTGTAATTACTTCCAGCGGATATGGTTCTTTGTAGTTTTCTCTATCAATCCAATTCCTTCGAGGACATTTGTAATATCATATATCCTTCTCTTTTGTACCTGTTAAGAGAGATCATAGGCACATAAGAGGATATTCTAACAAACTGATGAAGAGAGCTAATGACTTCAGTAAAGCAGCAATGGTTTGTGTATCAAACGCTTAAACCACATTTAAGCACAAATCAACTGTTTTACTACGAGTTGAGAAGAACATTTTCAGCTTAGTCTTTCGAGACATTATGCTTACCTCCAAAACATCTGCACAGTAGTTAAGGTCAAGTGATCCATCCTCAGCTTCCCGAATCAAATTGACGAATTTCTTTGTCAACAAACCTGCGAAACAAAAAGAGGCAACGATTACAATTTGCAAGCTCTAATCTCCCGAAGCTAGCTAGATGTGATTGCGATTTGCAGTTACCTAGAGAACTATCATAACGGCAGTTATTAGTCGCCGCGTTTGTGCCGCCACCGTTTTGTGCTTCTGCACACACACAAACAAAAATCAAATCAACACCACAATGCTGAATTACAACAACAGAGAAACATTTTCAACTGAGATTTAAGCAGGTTACCTCGCTTCCCAGCTTTTGACTGTTTAGTAACCTTTGACTTGCTCACACGTTTAGTGTCTTGAGGAGATTCTTGTTTCACTGTCACTTTAGCTATATCTATGGTTTCTCCAGGCATGTTGCAAATAGATCCAAGCTGGATTCGATGATTCTTCCTACTTTTCTGCTGCAATCAGATTTTCGATGTTATCCTCAATATTCCATGACTCAGTTCCACAAAATCACCACAAGAAATTTGTAGCCGCAATTAATAAAGCTCAGAGAGTACCAAATTTGAAACTAGAGATCCATTGGGAAGGTGAAGAGAATTGAAAACTAGAGAGATCCAATTTTGGATATGTTTCCCTTAAAGAACAAAAGTTCATTCAATTTTCTTCGCGAAATTTGAGATTAACAAAAAAAAAACCTAGCTGCCCAAAATTAAAGTCAATAATACAGAGAATCTATCGAAACTTGAAGGAAAAGAGATGAAAGCAGAGAAACTCACGAATTTCTGAGTGATTTGCGAGTAGGAGTCGTCCCAGTACTGAGCTTGAATTTGCGGAGATTGTGCATTCGGAATCGGCTCGGGAACCGAGAAAGGCCGATTCGTTGAAGAAGGAGTCGATGATGAAGAGTAAAGCGGATCAGTGGGTTGCATAGATTTGAGTAGCTCGAAGCGGAAAGGAGATCGGTGGTTGTAAGAGAGAGCCGGATCTTCGCCGGAGTTCGATGTCGCGGCCATGTCCGGGGAATCTCCGGTGATAAATTAATTTCGGAAGCGATTTAACGGCGAGAATCTTAGTTTTAGGTTTGTCGGAAAGGGAAAAAAAAAAAGGAGAAGCGAGAGATGAAGAAGAAGAGGGAGATTGGAGAAAAGAGGAAGATGGAGAGAGAAGAGAGGAAACAGCGGGAAGAAGAGGAAGGGTAAAAACGACTTCTCGTTTTATTAAAAACAGATAATAATTAAAAAAAATCGAATTGTGAAAAGAGCGGTGGGCGAGACGCTTGGAGTTGGAGAGTGTTTCGAATTCTGCCTTAGCCGCGCCTAACTTCTTCCGCTTATTATTATAACTTTTTTCCCTACTATTTGGGCCTGTAATGGGCTTTATTTGGGCTTGTTTGGGCTTAATTAGTTAGAATCTCGTGCTTTTGTTTGGTTAGATCTTGTTCCGAATTCACGTCTTAACGTTTTTTTTTTGGTTTCCTACCTCATGGTTTTAAATCTGTGTAAACGTTTTTCCTCCCAAATTCAGATTCTTTAATTTTTTTTTTCATTTTTTCCGTATGATGTAATTAACATTTCCGAGGTAAACTACAAACGTCAGCGAAAGAAATCGAAATTTTCTAAGACAAAGGGAGACACAAACCAAAACAAGGGAAAACATGTATGACCAAAAAGTACCATATAACAATCCATACTAAAATACTAAAGGGTTGACTAAATAAGACCTCCATTGTTTCTTGTGACTTCTTCATCTTCTTCTTCGGATGTATTTTGCAGCCAGCTGCATTGTGTCCAATTGCACCACATTTTGAGCAGTGGATGGTGCTTCCGGCCCTTCCAAGTACTTCTTTCTTCTTCTGTTTCAGTGATTCATGTTTGCCTTTGATCCTCGGGAGCTTGGTTTGCTTCTTCTTTTTCTTTCTCCTAGGCAGTATAGGTTCTGAGGGTGAAGTTATTAATGAGAAATTACCTTTCATCCAGAAACGGGGTCCTCTTACTGTATTGATGGATGTGTTGTAAGTCTCTTGCCACTTAAGAGTGGAGAAGCACTCAGATACATAGGGCCTGATTGGTTTAAACGTAGCGGTTGCGTTTGCGAATTCAGAAGTTTGTGGAAACGGGCGATTGCGGTATTAAGCGTTATTAAGCGGTTTACTCAACTAGTTAAACTTTTTAAAGCATATCCGTTTGCGGAACATTTTAGTCTGGCAAACCAATGAATGTTTTAACGGTTAAACATAAAATTACCAAAAATAAACATCATATATAATTATTAAAAACATAAAACTATATTATAATGCTAAATATCAAAATCACTAATTCAAAATAATTAATAAAAAATTATAAATAAATACTAAGTAAGTATTCAAAAAACTAATAAAATTTATAATGACATGTTTTATTTCAATTGTTGGGAACATCATCCAAAATTGTGTCTAGTAATGCAATAAACTGGAAAATTTTGCTCCAATACGTGGATTTTCTGGATTTTTCTTATTCACAATATAAAATTTCTTTTATTGATCTAATCGATTTTTTGCACGATTTCAACTCAAATCAACTCCAAATTTCTCATTAATATTTTTCAGAATACATTATATCTGGAGTGCACTAAAAAATCTAGGTTCTTTTTTTTTTCAGTTTGTTTTTCCATTTTTTTTTTTTAACGTGATTTTTTTTAACCCAACCACTACCGCCCGCAACCGCAAACGTTTGCAGGAAGTAGCTTTTGGATTTCAACTGTACAAAATGATACAAAGCGATTTGCAGTGATTTATAAGATTGTTATAAAACGCCACTAACTGCTACCAACCGCAAATGCTGCGTTTGCGAATGATAGTGGGTGAACCAATCAACACCATAATCTTCTGCATCTAAACCTGCATCTACCATAGCACCATAAGCATGTAGACATGGTATCCCCGTGATCTGCCATTTTCCACATGAACAAGTCCTCTTTATAGTGTTCACATTGTAAGAATTCTCAAAAAGTTCAACATTGAACCGTCCATAAGAAGCAGGAGGTGTTCTACACTTCTTAGCATCTTATTTCTCTTCTGCAAGCATCTCTACAACATATTTTGTAAACCTCTCTTGCAGTCTCCTGGATTTGTTCTTTATCTTCGAGATTCTCAGCATTGCTTGTCTCTGAATTGTCTCCAACATTGGTACTATTGCCTTAGCTCTTGCTTTGGTAATGGTTGAGTTAAAAGACTGTTGCATTGTTGTCTACATCTTCACAGAAACTTCTGAGCCTATAAAAAGCTAGAGACCAAGTCTTTGGTTCCCTCTTCATCACATCGTTGTACAAGGCCATGCTATAGCCTTGCAACTTTTGCTTATTCTCCTCAAATTCTGTAGGGTTATAGCTCCAAGCTAAGTTCCAAACCATAGGCTTAAGAAAATCCTTATTTTTATGCTTCGTCTTCAAATTCTCAACAATATGTTTCACACACCTTCCATGTTCTGCTTCTGGCAATTCAGCTTTCACTGCTTCGATTAGTCCCTGAAGATACAAAACAATTAGATAAAAACTAAAGGTATAAGAAAAAAAGGACAACGATAATAAAATGCTTATTTTTGAACTATCATAGATAAGAATTGGAGCCATTCTCTGAAAAACAACTAGATTACCATATTAGCAAACACTGCAGAAGGAATTTTGCAACTAGTAGACTTCTTCCGCAGAGAACATTCGTAGACTGCAAATGAAATCTACTTTAATAAGCTAATTAGCTTGAAAATAAAAAAAATTTCTGATTCCAAAATAAATATCGACTGAAATGAAATGAAAATCATTGGATAGTTCAATCACTTGCTAACTAGCATTTCAAAACCAAAAAAAAAATGAAAAAATACTTTATAATTGTGCCAAAAAAGCGTTTTTAAAATAAATGCAATAAGTAAACTTCTATTATAGACTTCTAACGTATACTGGAGGAGAAGTCTAATTTTTCCTTGTGAAGTCTGCGAAATAAGCCTACTAAAAAAACAGGTTATTTTGCAATTGACCAAAACATTGATTTTTTTTTCGTCAGTAGACTTCATTTGTGGACTTTCGACATAAAAGGTTACTTTTGCATTTGACCGGGCTATTGACTAACCGAGTAGATTTATTTTGTAGACTTCTGGTATGAGTAGACTTCTCTGACAATCTACTAGTGAAGTCTAATGGTTTCGATATAAGTCTACAGGAAAAATAGGTTATTTTTGCAATTGATTCCCCATAGTAGACTTCATGATGTGCGTGGTTGGGGTGTGTCGTGTTGTCAAGTTTTACCCTAAATGAAATCAATAGCTGCAAGTGCACAGCTGATCGATTGTAGTACTTAGGGATCGAATCCACAGGGAAGGAGGATCTTTCCTACAAAAGCCTTCGAAAGAAATATAAAGTAAGGAAGTCTAGAACCAAATGGTTTTGTGGGGGTTTTGATGGTGTGTTTAAAATGTAAAAACGAATCTTAAAGAGAAAATACGAGAATTAAAATGACCTAATAACTAAACTTAACGAAAACATGTAAAAACGAGAAAAACGACTAATCTAATTGCTTAAATGAAAATCAATTAAAAAGGAATGAGAATATTGAACTAAAGCTTGAAATAAAAACGGTGTGAATCTATAAGGAAGAAAGCGTTGGGGTTCAGGGAAGTTTTCTCAGGGGTACGAACGATTCAAAACATTGCTAGAGAGTAAATTTGATTAGATCTTAGCTTAAACTTTTCGAACTGGAGTCACGGAGGTATGAATACGCCACTGTCGTGATCATAGACAACTATCTCTCTCAACCCTGACCAGTAGGTTTCCACTCTGGCCCTGGAAAAGAAGAGATGCATTATGTTTAAGACTCGTCAGCATTCACAAATCCCCCATAGGTAGGTTTCCACTCCTATGTTTGTTTTGCTCTCCCAAACTAGATCTGACACCGGATGAACACTTTCGTGTCACCAAGCATCTGGATCAGATTGTAGTTCATGATGCTACTCTCATGCAGTAAAAACGAATTCAGAAGAAAAAGTTCTAAGATTCGGCTCAAAAGCTCATGGAATCCTCATCGAACATATTAATCCCCATCGAAAATCAACTACTCAGACATGATGAACGAAATCAAAAACATAATATTAAAAAATAGAATAGAAACCGAAATTGAAAAAGAAAGAACAAGGGTTCAAAAGATAGATCTCTCTCTCCCTAAAACCTAAAAACAAAGCTTAAAGTAAAATTTCTGTAAAGTATTTCGTCTCTCCTCTTCTCTCTTAAAAAACGACCTAAATGACATGTATTTATAGTCTCCAATACTCTCTGATGTCTAGGGTTCCGGGATTGAGGCTGGGAAAATGATACAGGCTTCAGAAATGGGCCTCCGGGCTCGGAGTTGGCTGGCTGCAGTCAGGATGAGTGCGACCGCGGGAAACGGGTGGCTGGCCGCGGTCGCGATGGTTGTGACCGCCGGGATTGGTCTGTTGGCCGCGGGTGGAAACGCTTGCCGGCTGGTTTACGGGACATCTTGCTCTTTGCGTATCTTTTGATTGAACCGTTGGATTGCCAAGCTGTAAAGTGTGCTGGAAAGCTGATACTTCCATCTTTAAAATCTCCAAATTTGAGCTGGATCAGACGGGGAGAAGACCTTCAATCAGGGGTGAACTTCTGACGGTTTGACTCTGAGCTGAAATCTGGTTTTCTATCCATTTTGTTAAGCTTTTCCCTAAGTGACCTGAAAAGAGTCTTGGAACTACAAATACTAGATAAACGTAATAAAATTACTTGAAAGCAATTAAAAACATAGAAAAAGTATTTCAAAACGATCCATAAAAGTGGTCAAAATACGGTGTTATCACTTCACTGGGAAGTCTACTAAAAAACAGATTCCTTCGATGTTTGACCAGAAAACAGAAGTAGTTTTCTTTCTGTTTTAGTCTTCTTTCTGAAGTCTACTTCAATTTTCCGGATGTTTCTTTTTTTAATTAACTTTAGTCGTACACAAAAATGACATCTACGTTCTTGGTCAAAATACAAAAGTAACTTAAAAGTAAACTTCAACAGAAGACGTCAGAAGATAGCAACTATTAAAAAGTCAAAATACGGTCAACTACATAAATAACCTCTTTTCCTGCGTAGACTTCTTGCGCCTTCAAACGAAGTCTATTAGGCTTTTTTTTTTCAAAGGATA